GTTGTTGTATCTAAAAACACTCCTTTTGTTGTTGAATACAACCTCAAAAGTCAGAAGGCTATGGTGACATTTTATATTCAACGGTACACGGCAGAGGATTTTGTTTTCGACAAAAGCTTACAAAGTCTCATGAATAAACAAGGTAATATTAATTAATATTGTGAGGTTAGTGTTGATCAAAGAAACACGAGTTTGTAGCTTTTTTGCAAACATACATTAGTTACACGTCTGTGTCAACATGGTCTCGTGTTGAAATTTTCTAGACACTGTATTTCCTGTAAATATATTTAGCTTTCCATCTGGTGTGTAAAATATATTATTTTAAATTTTATTACAACTTCAATGATAAATAATCTTAGGTGACATTGCAGTTAAAATTTACCTGGTTAAAAAATAAACTTATGTAAACTTTATAAATGGTAATAAAATATGATTATGGAGCTTTCTGGTGATACATTGACAGTGAAAAGTCTTATTCTATATAGTCTCACTTGCTAATGTACCCTCGAGGCGTCTAATAAGAACATCTTTATTTCCACTAGTGCTTAATTGCCTACTTTGCAACTCCATTTTTAGGTCACTTACTTTCATATTTCTAGGGTTTAAATTACGGCTATTTGTAACTGGACCAACACGCTGTTTGCTGCATAAGTGAACACTTTTATGAGCCTCGTATGTTACAGTATCAGGAAACCTCTCATTACATACAGAGCATAGGACTGGTTTTAATGACGAAAGTACTTCAGGTATTAGTTGCTGTCCCTCTGCACACTGGACAGTCACCCTGGCATCTACACATACCTCACATATATAATCATTAATTTCCTTTTCTCTTCCACAATTGCAAAAGTTGCTTGAATTTAGCTGAGAAGGAAGCCGAGACTTAAAATGAGAAGTATAAGAACTTGGCATTGGTTGATGTTCTGGCAAATAAAATGCTCTTACATAATTAGCTCTCATGACTTGCCACCATTTCCCTTTTTCAGTTGTTTTATTGGATCTGTTTGTCAAATCCAAGTCATTTTTAACCCCTGAATGTTTAGCCTCTTTTGCCTGTAATGATATTATACCATAACCCGCTTTGCAATTTTCATACAGTTTAGTTGCATGATATGGTATGGCATACCCTACTGTCCACACAGTTACATTAACATCCGATGAAAAAAAATAATGCATACAAATTAAAATTAAGTGTACAAAATTCTGTGAGCTCACCAAGGTAGGAAGGGCTAACTTCAATTTTGTTAAAAAGAGCCCCAGCATTCCTAAGGAATTGTGTAATTTTTCCTAATGCTAATCTTTCTAGTTTCTGGGCCGGGGATTCATCTAAGACTTTAAGGGCATCAATGAGCCTAAAAGAAAAGTTTGCCAAGGCAATGGCCTGGTCTCCTATCAACTGTACTGGAAGCTTCTTGTGCCTCTGAGCCTCATCATTATAGTGATCCTTAATCACAGAGGCTAAATACCCCAACCCACAACCAAGTTCACCAAAATTTTCCTTATGGTTACTTGACAGTGCATTGCCCAGGTCACATACAAACTTTTGGTTAGAGGCATTAACAAAATCAACCCTAGTAGATTGTTCTCCAGCACCATCATTATGTGGAACATAAACTTGTGATTTTCTGTTCCTATTACCATTTCCATGATCAGCTCTCCTTTCTACAGCTGAGGCACTTAATATATCAATAAATTTGGTAAAAACACCTCTTTGTGCTGCTACCCTGTATATGATATTTAACACATGTTGCCATGCATTAATTTCACAGTGGATAGGCTCTGGGTGCTGCCGCTCTACAAAAATTCCAATTCGGGGGGTGCCTAACTAGCGAATTCCATTCTCTGCCATGAACTGTAGTTTTCTAGAATGGCGATTTTTTCACTCAGGGAAGATGGCAGGGAAATCATAAACTCATTTACCCTCTTAACATGGGAATTTCTGACCTCCAGAGTATAAGGTTTGAATAAATCTTCTTCCCCCATCCCAATAGTGGCACCCATAGTACACATATTTCCTTTGCTTACGTTAGCATAAGGAGATGGGTAAGTGGCAACTTGATTTAACTCATTGTTAGCCCAGCTTTGACAGCTCATATCAGCACTGGGCTGAAACTCAACAGTACACTGCTTGTTAGATTCAACAAATACATTACCCTCTAACATTTCCATTTCATCAGTGTGTTGCTTCCAGATACTTTGCAACACCTCATCTTTCTCCCCCTGAATGACACAATGTAAAATGTACTGGAAATCCCTGCTTCTCACACTGTCCCCAAAATTCCATGATGTTAGGCTGCCAATTGACATGGTTAGCTGACTTAACTCAGGGGCCCCATCATCAGAAAATTGCATGATGAAATTATTTATGTTGTCATTAAACAAAATTAGCTTATGGAATAAATAGGGAAGTCTAAGGTGCAGATCAATTATCATAAACACCAACCCAGTTATTATTCTGGAAACACCCGGTGCATTGGGTGATTAACATGACCAATATCAAGACTTCTCACAAAATTCTCCACCCATTTGTCAGAAATAGCTATATTTGGCATCCTTAAGTCCAAACCTAATCATTTTATGTTACGGGGTACCCATAGATCAGAGTTTGGATCCAAAACTGAAGACTGAATTTTGCAGACAAGGGCATACTTTCTGCGAGACAGAAAGTTCTGTTACTTCATAAAAACAGCTTGTTTCAAAGCCTCATCCGAATTTTGATACCCTTTCATTGTCTTGTCAAACAGACCCTCGTTTAAGTCCAGAAATCAGTTTGTCCATGGTTTGATTGTCAGCAGTAGATGAAATATAATCCCAAGCCCCATATATTGACCCTTCTTTTCCCCCATGAATAAATTCTAATACATTTTTTGTCTCCTGTCTTCGTCTGTACTTAGTGCTGGAATTGACATTTGTAATCATATCATAAGTTGTACTGGCATTTGTTCTCCTCGCTACTGAAAAGCCTTTTTGTTCAAGCAGAGATTTAAATTTTTGATATTGTTCATTTAATTGTGTTACTTTTTCCTCTTGTTGCTTTACTTGATCTTCCTTTTCTTCCACACTCTTTTGAAGGCTTTTTAGCTCTTCTTCTACTGCATCTTTCTGAGCAACGGAAGTTTGTATTTGTCCCTCTTAAAAAAAAAAACAAAAAAAAACAAACAGAGAAATTAGATCTCAACATTTTTTGCAATGACATGTAAATAAAATACTAAAGGAACAGAATGTTGTACATACATAACTTAATTTTCCGTTCGAACTTCAGAGTAGCATGGTGGTAAAAATGAAATCTTTTGCACGTTTCGAAAACACTCAAAGTTATAATATTACCATATTCATCCAGCCGAGCCTTTTTGGCTTCAATGTCCTGTGATAGCTTTTTGTTTTGTTCTTGTAACTCTCCTTTTCTTTTCAAAGCTACATGTGAAGATGAACTATTCCAGAATGCATGAAAAGTTCAACTAGAATCACAGCGTCCTTGGTGAGAATTAGGCTTATTGCATATTCTGCGTTTTCGACTACAAAGTGAGCAAGAAATTTAAGTTATTCAACAAACGCAAATTCGACGTTCAGAATTGCTTTGTTTACCTATCGTCCCGTTTATCCCCTGAAAAATTGCTGGCCATACGAAGATTCTTCCTCGAATGGTCTTTTCACTGCCGTAATTATACACAACGATCGGCGATCTGTAGAGAATCCAATATGGCTGCCAGCAAGAAGCATCGAGCGCTCGATAAAATCGGGGTTTAAAATGTACAAATTCACGGTTTCCACGATTGAAAATACAAACAAACGGAGTCTACATATGACGATAAAGCTTTTTTATTTGTGATAGGTAGGATACAACGAGAATAGAAAATTACCCAGGATGGATTTCCCCCTCACAACGCGCCAAATTCACATTCTTAAACGATTTCACCTCGAAAACACAATCCTAAGGGGGGGTCTCGAAATCAAAAACATACTTTAGTATGGGAAGAATATACCTACCCCTGAAAGTAACGATTTTGCTTTCTAAGGGTGTGATGGTTTAGTTAAATAACATTTGCACCTATCGTGGTTCCTTTTGTAAATTCTAATCAGATGCGACAAGAAGAGAAAATGATCAGGGGATGGTTTCCAATAACGAAACGAAAATTTAATTATAAAGTTTCTTGACATCTACGGTCATGGATTAATTTTCAGTTGTCAGTTAAATGTGCTCGGAATTAATTTCAAGACTGTTTTTCGTGTACCATGAACATTTTGCGGGAGTTTTATTTTTGCGGATGGAGACAATTTGTGCAATTTTTTAAGCAAACAAGTCAGTCCGTTTCTAAATTACTGACAGTTTCATCAGTGAAACATCAGCCTGAGGGCAGATGTTCAACTGAATGGACCAAAGTAAGGAAGGAAGGAAATGAATAATTTTAATTTTTATTATTTCCTTCTTCCATCTTCTCCATAGTTTTACAAAGAGGAGGTACAGAGCTGATAGGCGATTAGTCGATAGATGGTTTGAGTAAGTCCGAAAACAAACAAAGTGCCCTAGATACTTGCAGTATATTCACTTTTGTAGTTTCTCATTTGGCCGAAGATAACAGACATTTGCAATATTTTATTAAACGCGATTTTTCAGCGGGAACGTCATTTTGCGGATCGACAAGTATCCTTAAAATTAAGTTAGGTATACCGTTCCTGGCCAATTCCTATTTTCTTATCTACAAAGAAGTTTATCAAAAAATAACAAACTAACAGATGTCTTCATCCTTGAAAGTTTTATTAGCTCTTATTTAAAATGCGTTCTTGAATGAAATTGATCAGCCAGAGGGACACCTTTTATGGGGTTGATTTATGCAAGGCATACTCTCCAAATTCCAAGAAAGGTTTACAACTATAAATATGTAATAGTCTTGACAGTTCCTTCAACCGATGTAAAACGAGTAAGATGCATTGAGGAAGATTTTAGAGTTGATGATTAAAAAGAATTATAAGATTTAACTGTTTCTTGGCCAGGTGGTTGCTGTGAAGAAGTATTATCCCGTGTTGCCAGCAGTTCCGAAAAACCGTAGCGAAAGGATGAAAACCGTTTTAAGAGCTGCACAATGATTGCGACGACAAACTCAACAGAGGGTGGAACACAGACGGAAGCGTATAAAATATTGCCATGTTCCCCTTCCTCGGTAGTTGGGTTACAACAACAATCCATTTATTTCTCAGCAGTTCACATTTTCCTCTCCATCACAGCATTTCTCGGGAATTTTCTAATCCTTGCTGCCCTTAACAAAGAATCTTCCCTTCATCCACCGTCCAAACTCTTGTATCGTTGTCTGGCAACAACTGATCTGTTGGTTGGTCTTGTTTCCCAGCCTCTCCATGCTACTTATTGGATGTCCTTGGTTTACGAACACTGGACTCTTTGTCGATACGCAAGTGGCGCAGCCTTCATATCAAGTGTTGCATTATGTGGGGTGTCTTTGTTGACGTTGACGGCCATAAGCGTGGACAGACTTCTCGCTCTGTTGTTGGGAATAAGATACAGACAAATAGTAACTTTAAAGCGCATATATATCATTACCACTACTTTTTGGATTTTTTCCGTAGCCGCTGGATCATTTTCCATTTTGCATACCCGAATTACCCTTTGGTGTAGTATTATAGTCATACCGTCATGCTCAGTGATCTCAATCACCTCGTATACAAAGATATTTCGCACTCTTAGACATAATCAGGCTCAAGTACAAGATCGTGTTCAACAACAGTCGAGCCAAACAACTGCTCTAAACATGGCAAGATACAGCAAGGCAGTGAGCAGTGCACTGTGGGTGCAGTTAGCTTTAGCTGTTTGTTACGTACCAACAGTTTTAGTGTTGCTTGTGCTCGCTTCTAGAAAAACTTATTCTTCACATGTAGTAGTTATATATGCAATAGCAAATATTTTAACATATTTTAACTCCACTTTGAACCCGTTTCTTTACTGCTGGAAAGTCAAAGAAGTGAGACAAGCAGTAAAGCAGACAATCCGGCAAGCACTTTGCTTTCCAAGCCGTAATTTGAAATGAAAAGAAAAGAATATCAAATGAAACAAACACGATTTTTCAGCGTCTACTGTGTTTTAGATGCTTTAGTGTTTGCCTAATTATGCTAATAAATATCACATCAAAACGCAGTACCATTGTCGAACCCGCTGCGTGTTTTCTTGCCAAATCCTAAGGCCGTTTTCTGCTCATTCCATGTTTTTAAAATTGATCTAATGAGCCATAGAACAACAACGCACTACTGTAGACTAAACTACTCCTGATTATATGCGCACGATTTATGAGAATTGAACGAAATGAACTGTTTTTGATGGGAATATGTTTCAGCCTTGAAAGAGAAAAGGTAAATAGTGAATGGGAGATATCGTAGAAGTTAGAAAAGTGAATAAAGATGAAAATTGGATGAACGGTATGTTGGTTTCATTAATTAGATATTTTTAACGGTTTTGACTTTTATCTGAGAAATATTTCCGTGTAATATGCAAAGATTGTGGTGGAAGTTTTTGTCATCCAATTGGAGATCATCTATGCTTTGTGGGAACAAATTTCTCTTCGATTCCAGATGCGTGAAATTCTAAAATTTATTCTAAGAACTAAGAGAATCAAGTAGAATATTCCAACATTTTGACATTTTAATTAGCATGCATGTAACCATATATCGATCAACTTTGGCTTCTCAGCGTTCAAGATCGAGTAACTTTAAATTTCAAAAACGAAGACAATGTAAAAGAAGAATTTAAGATCACAACCAGCTGCCGTTCGAATGAGACTGAGAGAAACTAAGCAGGGTGGAATAATGAATAAACATTGAAATGGTTTTCTAAGGTTGTGATGGTTTAGTTAAGTAACACTTTGCACCTGTTCTGTATACCCAGAACACTGTGACAGAAAGACAAATTGAAAGCAGAATTCATATCACCCAGATGCCGAGAGGTGCTATCTGTTTCACTTTAACCAAATATACTGTATGACAGAGCCTCTGGAAACTCGCTGCTTGTTTTCATGTCCAATGCTAATGCTATCCTCTGCTTATTTCATGTTTTTGAAATTGATCTATTGAACCATTTAATAACTACGCACTATTATGAAGGAAACTTCTCTTGATTATAAGCACACGATTTATAACAATTGAACGAAATGGACTCTTTTTTTAGAAGGGAATAATATGTTTCAGCCTTGAAAGAGAAAAAGTAAATAGCGAATGACAGATATTGTAGAAGTTAGGAAAGTTAATAAAGATGAAAATTGGATGGACGGTGTGTTGCTTCATATTTATCATCTGTTGCAGTTCCTCCAGGTCCTTGTCAGATGCGAAAGGAAGAGAAAATAGCTTGTAAATGTTTTTTAACAACGAGATATCAATGCGATATTGTTTGAAATTGCTAAGTCCGCCGAATAATTTATGCTTTGCGGAAACAAATGTCTCTCTGATTCCAGATGCGTGTAATTCTAAAATTTATTCTAAGAACGACTAGAATCTATTACAATCTGAGGAAGATGTTAGAGTATCACGTGGTTTCCAACACGGAACTAAGGGGGGGGGTTCAGTCGTCGCTGACAGAGGACAACGGGCAGACTAACGAATAAGGGTTCTATGGGCGGCCTTCACAATCTTTTATATAAGGATGTCAAATAGATCAGCAATTAAAAAGCTGGTTTAAGGATCAGCTGCAGGATAAAATAGCTAATAAAGGAATGGCATTGCCAAATTATAGACGGTTTAGTTTTCCTTCATGAAACAGAACACCCTAAACATGAATAGTTTAGCCAAATGATAAACAGTCTAGTTGCCCATGTCGAGTTGGAACACGAAATTGTGAAATAGACTAGCTTAATTACGAATAGCTTAGTACTCATTTGCAGTACATTACACAAACGGTGTAGCGCAAATGGAACAGCGATCTGCTGGGGGGGGGGGGGGGGGGCATGACGTCATCGAATGCGAAGACTGTCGTGAAACCATCACATCGTGTAGCTGCTGTGTTGAAGAGTCTTTACTTCGCCTTGCCGTAAAGCAGAGCCAATTCGGTACGTTTCTCCTTTTTTTTTCCCTGCCGATATTGCATTTATTCGTTGTCGTTCATGAAAGCGTTAATCAAACATATGGTGTTTGCCAAAGCGACCTTTTTTTTGGAGTTGCTTTTATCGTCTGGCACACCAATTAAAGCATTCCGATATCACTTTGATTGAAAAATGTCAAAACAGATTAAGGATATCAGTTTTCTTACCATGGCGTCCAAGGTACACACAAAATCCAAAGAGTCTTTGAAGTTGAACTCTCATTGAAAGGTAAGCGTGACTCCAAAAAAAAAAAAATAGAGCTCGACAATCGACATTTAATTCATGTCATAACTCTACTTAATACTATAAACATATTCAGGCTCACCAACGCGTGCAAACTGTGGTAGAAACTACAGCCACAACACCACGTGATGGTTTCGCGATAGTGTTCACTTTCAATGACGTCATGCCTCCCAGCAGATCGCTGTTCTATTTGCGGTTTGTATTTTTGGTGGTTTCGGCGAGATTGTCTTCACTTCACGCCATAAACAAGCTCGACAATTCACCACAACATCGAGATATTTTATGTAATGCTAAGCAATTGAATGCTCAGCTAGAGCATCTGATGTTCTGCAAAGACGTGTGTACGCTGTACCATGCGACATTTCGCCGAGCCATTTCACGGAACCATTCTACATTACGCTGAGCCATTTCACGCAACGCTACACCATTTGTGTGTACGCTGTACCATTCGCCATTACGCTGACCTATGTCACGAAACGCTACACTGGAATTTTATCACTGTTTGTAATAGCTCATTGTTTTTCTTGGTGGTATTAGCTCATACTGATGAACAATACAATAATTTACTGAATACTGGAGAATCAATTATAATGATCAACGTACGCCTATCAAACAGATATTTTACGCGATTAATTTGACAAAGGCTACCAATACATTTCGAAGTTACTTGAGTTACATGTTCGTCGCACGTGAGATTACAGTATATTGTAACTCCCAGCTTTTTCGCAGATTTAGATGATGTAATCTCCTTGCTGAGTAGTGTAATGCTTAGATCATCTGGTATCTTCGTCAGCATCTGCGGAGTCCCCAGAACCAGAAGTTTTGTCTTGTCCGGGTTAATGAGTAGACTGTTCTTGCAACACCATGCGGCTATGTTCCGAAGATCTTCTGTCAGCTGATCTACTCACTCGTGATCAGGCTCAAGTACAAAATCATTTTCAACAACTGCCGAGCCAAACAACTACAGCAGTGCACTGTGGGTGCAGTTAGCATTTATGTTATGCACCAAGTTTAACATTGCCAACACTTGTGATCATCTGGAGGACTTATTCATTACATTTACTCATCACTTCTGGAATAACGACTCTTTTAGTGCATTTAAAGTCCACCTTAAACCCGTTCCTTTACCGCTGGAAGATTAGTGAAGTGAGACAAGCAGTGAAGCAGACAATCAGAGAAGTACTTTTCTGTCCATGGAGTTAGATCTTTTCCCTTGGAGATACGCATGTGTCATGATGCGTGTGAGCTCTTAGTTTAAATAAAACTAGAGTCATAAGTGCAAGAGGAACGGAAAAGCTAGCCATCGGAAGATATATGAATAATATGTATCTTCATTATGATTACTTGGTGGGCTCCAAGTCACCCCGTGCTAAGGAAATCGGGGTAATCAAGCTCTGATGGAGCATTTTCAGGCCACGCTCAACCAATGTGCTTTGTGCGTCGTTGTTACTGTTATTATCTGGGAACTAAATACTTTTTCAACAGAAAAGTAGCTTTCGCCAATATTTTCATAGCGAAAATAGAAAAAGTGTAGTATTGCCCTGAGTACAACTAAACTGCTACTTTGGAAGAGGTATATTGACTACGTTTTCCGTCTGCGTAACAGAAGCAAACACAAAACAGAAGAGTTTGCAGATCTTATTTTCGATGTACATTGTGCCATGATACAATAATTATTTACGGCTTAAATATCAGACTCGGAATTTATACTCTTGGACACAAAAGCTTAAAGCGTTAGTTTTAATAGGAAATCGACTCTTGAAGGGTAGGAAAAAAATAAGATAGAATTGACACGTGTTGAACATTCTAAAAGGAAAATTCGAAACGAATGGTTGGTACACATTACAATGCGGGAAAAAAACCCCGGAGTTTATAGGATATTTTCTCGTGTTAATATACTATTGCAAAAGAAGTGAGACTTTTAGTTAAATGATTTTAGTTGAGATTTGAAATTAAAATTTCATTCCAAATAATTGTGACTGCAATGAACGGTCTTTATTTGCCAATCACTCAAAAGCCCAAAATATTTTTTTCTGAATGACTCAAAAACAAAAAAATGCATTAAAAAAAAAACCAAAAAGATATTATTTCTTAAATATTTCCAATGTTTTGACATTTTAATAGGCATGTCCGCTATCCAGCATTTTAATTTTAATGAATCAGATCCATTTTGGCAATTCGTAATATAACCATATATCGATCAATTTTGGCTGCACAGCTTTTCACGATCGAGTAACTTTAAATTAGAAAAAACGAAGACAATGTCAGAATAGAATTTAAGATCACAACCAGCTGCCGCTCGAATGAGACTGAGAGAAATTAAGGAGGATGGAATTATGAATAGATATTGAAATGGATTCCTAATGGTGTGTTAGTTTAGTGACATTAGTAATATTTTGCACTTGTCATAGTTCCTTTTATAAATTCTGATCAGATGCGACAAGAAGAGGAAATAACTGGGGGATTTTTTCAAATAACGAAACGAAATGTTAAAAATTTTTAAAAAATTTCTTGACATCTTTGGCCACACATGAATTTTTAGTTGTCAGTTAAATGCGTTAAATTATGACTGTTTTCAATTTCTTTCAAGACTAATTTTTCGTGTGACATGAACATTTGCGAGAGTTTTAATTTTGCGGATGGAGACAATTTGTGCTTGGTTGGAAAAAAAATTGAAGTTCGTCTCTACATAACTGACAGTTTCATCAGTGGAACATAGG